TTTTGAATATGCTTACTTTTTTCCTTTCTTCCACGTTTTTTCTTTCTGAATCTTACTGAAATCCAATGCTTTTAGTCTTTTTAACCTCTTGAGTGTCGTAAGTAGGCATCTATAGACAGAGGCGGCGCGCCATAGTAGCGAGGGGTAGCAGTTGCTACCCCTATAGAAAATTAAGGGTAGCAATAGAAAGTTATTGCTACCCCTAATAACACATATTCTGGGAGTTGTTAGAAGAAGTGGGAACTGGGAGTTGTTATTATTTATTAAAATTATGAGTTTAAAAAATTTATTGCTACCCCTAGGAACTTTAGCTTGCGCCGCCTATGTCTATAGATGACATGAGGGAAATTTTATATGTTGCATATGCTTTTTCGTTCTGTCGATTTAACGGAAAAAAACGCCGGGTGAATACATGTTACGAAAACAATAGAAAGCAAAGAGAGATATTTAATCGTTTTTTTACATATGTATGCCTTTGGACGCGTAAGAGGAAAAATAACGGCATTCAAGAGGTTAAGCTTTTCTAGGAACTTTTAAAAATTTAGAAAAATTTAGGTTTTTTGAATATGCTTACTTTTTTCTTACTGATACTTGATAAATTTCAACCGTTATGTTCTTAGCTCGAATGTTTTGGAGGCGACGACACATCTTTTTAAAGTGTTGGTCCATGCAGTAAGAAAAAACTATTATAACGTAGTTGATATTCCATGGTGTTTCCTTATTTACACTGCTCAGTCTTGAGTTTTCGTTCATCCCTGGTTAAACTTATCTGAGTTTCTTTGTGTGCATAAAACCACCTCTTTTTTCTATTAAAGAATACATAACATCTGAGATGCATACATCGTTGCAAATAGATAAAAGAAATTTCGTGACATTAGTACTGAACATAAAAAACAATATATGCAAGTTGATTTTATGTTGGAATTTATCGAGTATCAGCAGGAAAAAAGTAAGCATATTCAAAAACTAGAAAAATCGATTTTCCGGATTCTTCTTATATAAAACAAATACATGTAAAACCAAATATATATAAAATTATTTTGAACACAGTGCCATGCCTAAAGTAGGATCGCAATGCATATTCTTGTGCTCAAAAGTGTTATCTTTCTTTTCGTGTACTCACTTTAAATGTGTTTTTCTGGCACAAAAGCAATTTTATGAAACATTCATGGAAAAAGAGAAAATCTGACTTCTACTAGTTAGCACAGACAAAGAAATAAAACTATTAGGCTTTTTCTGTTAGGGAGTAATAGAAGAACTATTTTGCTTTAGGTAAAATAAAGAAATAAACACCGAGTTTGAAAATGATCATTTTTAGGGAAATCGATAAAAGGAAAAAAGCATTCTCTCTCAACCGCTTGTGATTATGAAAATTTTAAATATGGTCAGTTAATAGCTAAGAAATGGCCATCTTCTAGTTTTTTCGTTTCTTAAAATATAGAGGACTCAAAGTTAAAAAGCCGTTTTAGGCGTTGGAAAATAATCAAGGTTAAAATTCACAGTATTTGTTTTATATAAACTTTTTTATTTCGATGAAATACAGAATAAATCGAGACAATTGCCACATTACACGTTTATAGTTTGCTTAATACATGACTAAGAAATCTCAAGTTTATATCGTTACTGTAAAGATAACGGGGAAGAAAACATATACGAGAAGAGAGAGAAAAAGCCACATTCAGTGGAGATACCACACGTAAAGGCGAGAATCACAGGAGTAAGCGCGAGACAGTATTTATTTTCCTTTATTTTTGCAAAAAATTGTTTAATATATTTTTTGTAGGGAATAAATAGCGAACCTTTAAAAAGAAGAAATAACCCTGTATCCTGAAAGGAAAAAAATTTATAGTTAAAATACTCAGAGCTTCATGTCTTTTGAAGCACCTGTTAGACACAAAAACGTTAAATTCTTTTGAACGGTCCACAGCAGATATGTAACAAACAGAAAATGAAGGCTTTCAATAACGATATTCGTGATCTACGCCTCACTTGACACTTTTTATATGATTTCCAGCTTTATTGTGATGCAAAATTTTCACCTTCGAGTTCCATCAAGTATTTCTGTTAAATCTCGACAGGAACTTCTTTTTATTGAATAAAGCCAAACATCATATGAACAGCACAAGCTGACGTGGACATCACGAATATCATAACTTAAACTCTTAATTTTCTGTGTCACTTACCTGTTCTGATCCTATGCATAACGTATCGTGGTTATTATCTATAGTACTAGACATGGAAACAAATTTACGGTTCTTGGATGTTGCCGATGAACCAATACAAACATTATTTCCAGTTGAAGGTTATCAAGAGTTACCATTAATGCCACTGGAAATGGCCGTTGAACAGATACTTCATTTGTTCAAAAATTTACCAGCTAAAGTCTGGGCCGCTAAAGATCGTTGCAAAAATCCTCTAAATAGTTTGACACAAGATGAATCAGCTGCAATTCATCTGTATACTGTAGAACTTCATCCAACTGAACGTAGTCTCTATTTTCAACTCAATCAAATTCTACGTTCAGAAGATCGTCGAAAATTAAAACCATGGTTTGGATATTTGAAACTATTTCTTACAGCTTTATTCAAACTACCATCAATTAAATCAACTGTCTGGCGTGGTGTCAAAGCCAATTTAAGTCATAAATATCCAAAAGGAAGTAAATGTATTTGGTGGGGGATCAGCTCTTGCACTGATTCCATTGGTGTACTAGAACAGGAACAATTTCTGGGACAAACTGGTACACGTACATTGTTTTCGATTGAATGTCACAGTGGAAAAGACATTAAGAGCCATTCATATTATCAAACAGAAAATGAAATTCTATTATTGCCTGGAACCTACCTTCAAGTGATTGATCAGTTGAAAGCAGGCTCGGACGGGTTATTTATTATTCATATGAAAGAAATATCACCTCCTCACGCCTTCCTGGAGCCTCCCTCAACTGAATACGAAGGAATTCCATCAGTCAACAGCCTATATTTGCATGAAAAACCAGAAACACCAGAAAAGGGTAAGAATAGTTCACTATTTAAAATCAGAGATGATCGGTTTGATAAATTACCTGTGATATATTGCATAGGTAATCTCTCTTCACTTTACTAGCTCAAGCAAAAAATCATATATGAAAATATCTAGATGTTTTCATAGCTAGCTGCATAGCCAAAACAGAAAATCTGAATCGAGTATCGCTCGATGCAGCTAGATGTGGACGATGAATGGAGATTTTGCGAAGAATAAAAAATAAATGTGCATCTAGTGAAAGTCGATGCAGCTAGCTTCATGCATCTATCAAATGAAGCTAGCTGCATCGACTTTCACTAGATGCACTGCATATGACGAGGAATTCTTATTCGTAACGACTCTAAACTTCTCCGCACTTTCACAACCCATAACGGAAGTAAACTTTTCGAGATACAACATATTTTATCTAGGTTCTTAGGTCCTTGCATGTTGAAAACGAATCTAACTTTCAGGTTCGTACGAATATTTAGATACAAGAACCTTTTCTGAAGAGTGTGAGCAATTTAAGTACGCGGCGCTACGAACTTTAGATTCGCCCTGAACATGACAGAAACGCAAGAGCCTAACACGTACATATAAAATATTGTAGGAAAAAAGGTTCTTGTATCTAAATGTTCGTACGAACCTAAAAACGTAGTACGAACCTAAAACGTTAGCACGAGCCTAGAAGTTTTGATTCGTTTTTATATGACAAGAAACCATGAACCTAAAGCTTTTTTTGAAATTTTTGGGTCGGTTTTGTTTGGATTCGTTACGAATAAGAATTTCTCACTTCATCATGCACAGTTATTTGGTGTTTAGTGGAAGTGAAAGTCGATGCAGCTAATTTCATGCATCTAGCTGGATCTGCTAGTGCATCTATCAAATGAAGCTAGCTGCCTCGACTTTCATCAGATGCACATGTATTTTATATTCTTCATAAAATCTCGATCATCTTTTGATCGATGCATCTAGCTGCATCGAGCGATGCTTGATTCAACTTTTCTCTTTTGCCTATGCAGTCATCGTATTAGTGAATGGGAGAGTATAAAGATATGATGATGCTGCGGATACAGCTGTGCTCGATAAATACACTAGTAGATTATGGGCGTAAATTTGTTTCCAAAAGAAATAAGAAAAAGAACTCAAAAAGAATCGAGAATCCTTTTCAGTGATCGAACTACCGTAACATAATCGTTACCGTATATGATGATAACATCATGCTTGGACATGTGTTGAATGTGTATCTGAGAGATACTGACGCTCATACCATTCGGATTAAGAATACGGTCGACCCAGAATGTCGTTTTAGACCTGTACTCTCGATATCTTCCGTATGGTATGGCTGTATTGCTACATCCACAAATCACCAGAGAATAACGAAATTATTACAACGAGGCTGTCACTTATCTATATTCTCTGGCAAACTTCCGTATACTCTGATATGCTTTTGAGATTGTGTAATAATCCATCTTGATAAAACATGGATTATTCTGTCATTAATAGTAGAGTTAATAAGCGCTTTCAGAACCTTTTTCTACAACACACATCTGACAACAGTTTTGTCTTTTATTCTGCTTCGTTTCTTCCAAAGCAGCACTCAGATTTTTTCATGCTGTTTTTAGAACTAAATTTCCTTTATATTCGCATCACGATATGACAGATATCGATTAAGTAGATCAATGTGTCTGAATAGCCTAGTCGATAAATGTTTCGTAAGTATATACATTAATCTATATAATATAATATACTGTGATACGAAGTAGTCGAGTTCGATTTTCGTAGGCAAACATTATTTTTTTACTTTTTGTATCTACCTGAATCTAGCTGCAGCGATCTGAACTAGATGCAGAAACTGTGAAACAAAAATCGATGCAAAAGGCGATGTACTGTTGATGCATCGCGCTAAATATCGCTTTTTTTTACCATTTCAGTATCTTTTATAACTGTTGTGGATTGACTTTGTGTATTATACAATATTTTATACAATATCATTCATTCAAATATTCGTTTCTATAAAATACAAAAGCTCAACGAATAATTGCTTACTACTATCGATGCTATTTAAAGTATTTTGGGTGATTGTAATTGTAACAGAACTTATTCTGAAGTTTTATTCATTTATTTCGACGAAATACATTTGTCATTTCAAGAAAAATAAACGACTCGATCGTAAGAAAGAAGGGAAAAAAAGGTTTCAAAAAATATTCACTGTTGTCTGGTCTGTCAATGTTACACATGTGATATGGCAGAAAAAAGTTTAACAATAAGATTGTTGATGTCTTAGCACTCTCCATTTTAAACAATGCAAACGGGGTTTCAATCACTTACTAAGATTGAGCAAACACTACTCTTCAAAATGAGACTTTCCGCAGTTGTACACAATCTTTTTTGGTTAAGTTATGGCTTTTACACTACAAACTCCGCAGCGATCGTTAGCCTATAACAGCTCCTTTTTTTCACAACGTTACTAGGGGCTTGCACTGCAAAAGCTATAACTCAATTAGAAAGGGTTGTGTAAAGCTGCGAAAGGCCTCATTTTGAAGAGAAGTGTTTGTTCGATCTTACTAAATGAGAGAAACAATGTTAGCATTGAGTTTTAAAAAGGAAGGTTTTGTGATATCAAGGAGTTATGAAAACCTTTGTTTCTTTACGTTACAGTTAAGTTGACATTTTCTATATCATACATATACATGCATCGCAGTCAGCACTATATGAATCTAACACCACATTTATTGTGGCTACGACAGTTCACGAGAAGAACAACAGCAATCTTGTTGTTAAACTTTTTTCTGCCACATCACATGTGTAATCTTGACAAACCAAATAACAATGAATATTTTTTGAAGCCCATTTTCCCCCTTCTTTCTTACGATAGAAGCGTTTATTTTTCTTGAAACGACAAATGTATTTCGTCGAAATACATGAATAAAACTTCAGAATAAGTTCTGTTACAATTACAATCACTCAAAATACTTTAAATAGCATTGATAGTGGTAAGCACGCCTGCCAATAAATAAGGAACTTTGTGCTCATAAGCTGAAACCTTTTCTAATCAAAAGACCCATAGGCGCTATCAACAGTATCATTCTATAAACATCTTGAACTGATGTCATTTGAATCCCTCGAAAAGGATGTTCTTGGACACTGACCTTTCCGGAGAAAAATATTCCAAAGTTGGTTTTGATTCTGCCGACCAATTAAAGCATTTTTGTTCTGCTTCAGAGGATGCTGCGAGTTCAGATTTATCAACAGAGAGCAATGGGGCGAGACTGAGCGTGTTTTATCTAGCATGCCGGAGTAATGAGATTAAAAAGGTCAAACAACTGCTTTCACACATGGCATCAGACGAAATCAGTCGGATCGAGCGAAATGGTTCCACAGCATTACACGTGGCTAGTTACAATGGGCATATCGATATTGTTCAGTTATTGTTAGCCCACGGAGCAGATCAAACAATCAAAAATAAGTACCAATGTACACCATCGGATGAAGCAGCAACAGATGAAATAAAACAGTTGTTTAACTGTTCAACCCGTAAGGATTTTGCTGCTGAAGAAAATAAGTTCATAGAATCGGAATCCATCAAATGGATCGAAATTGGTCAAGGTGTTACTCACATTGCCAAGGAGAATCATAATCATTTGAAAAAATTGTTAAAAAAGAAGTCACTACAATCGCTGATTAACACTATCGAAAACTACGTTAACAAATTGGATCTCCCAGAAGATGAGTATAATAGAATTAAATTATTGATGGATCGCGCACTTTGTGAGGACTATCCGGTACCGCTGATGAGTATGTATTGCGCAGAAACATCATTCTATAGAAACTTAAATATCGATTTAGCAAGGTATGGGAGAGTTCATACAAAGGAAAATACCATATCAGGTGCTTATGCGTTTACTGCTATAATTGCTCATCATCCGAAATTAAAGCAATATTCCTACACGGGCTTAACATTTCGTGGTTGCCGTTTGCGAGAGAATGACGCAGCAGTATATGTCGTTGATACACTGATTATGAATTGTAGTTTTCTCTCGACATCATCAGACCGCGCCGTAGCAGCCCATTTTTCAGTCATGGCGGGAAGTTCGGATATGTACCTTCCGACTATTGTAATCTACAATATCAAACACGCTGATACTGCTATTTATTTGCATACCTTAAGCGAATATCCTGAGGAAAGAGAAGTATTGATCCCTCCATTTACTGTATTCAAGGTAACAAAAGTCAATAGAAGTGTGAACGAAGCTGAAATATATTTGGATATGTGTAAAAGACAATAAAATAATAAGTGATTTCTTCTTGATTTCAATGCCAAATACAATTAATTCAAAAGACTTTTGTACATTATTTTCAATACACATCTCACTGTTGCACCTTGACAGACCAGACAACAGTGAATATTTTTTGAAACCTTTTTTTCCCTTCTTTCTTACGATCGAGTCGTTTATTTTTCTTGAAATGACAAATGTATTTCGTCGAAATAAATGAATAAAACTTCAGAATAAGTTCTGTTACAATTACAATCACCCAAAATACTTTAAATAGCATCGATAGTAGTAAGCAATTATTCGTTGAGCTTTTGTATTTTATAGAAACGAATATTTGAATGAATGATATTGTATAAAATATTGTATAATACACAAAGCAAGGGGGAAAAGGCGAATCCGTTGATCCGGATTTTCACATGGATCCGCTTGTATCCGTGTGGATCTGCTTTTTTCGCCTTAAGGTTACAACACTTTTGTATCTGCATTTTGTTTTTTTGAATACTCACAGCAAATCCCATAATTATTAATAATGCTAGCAACATATGCCAATAAGTAAAAATTAAAAGCATAGTCCCATTATATATATTAATGAATAAGACGCACTCGCAGTGAGTTACATGTGGTTAGTGCTGTAGCCGTTCGCGTTGGTTTGATTAAAATTTGAACAGCAACTGCAACGGTTTTGCCGTTCAGACAAGATAAGCAGGTTGCACGGCATATCATCAATTGACATTCGGAACCGTCAATGTAAAATATTATGTTGTTATATTGGAATACAGTGTAATTAGAGAGACACACCCAAGGGGGAAAAACCTCACTTTAAGTGTGTGCACCTCCGAGTGAAGCGCCACTTAAAGGGTCACTCAGAGTGTCACTTATAAGCGTGTGCACCATTTTAGGAGGTCGTTTTCCCCTTGGACACACCACTAATCATCTGATATAGCTTCTCAGGATTGATTGATTGATTGATTTTTATTTCGACAACAGCCGTTTGGTCGGAAAGTACAAAAATCTAATAAACACAGAACATGTTGTCAGGAAAGCAAAACAAGTTTTAGAAACCTATAAAAATTGCCACGTTTTATCCTATATATATATATTTTTTCTTTCCCCCTTTCACAGTTGTAGATGCTGCCTCAGTTTGGTTTTGAAAGATTTTGTTGTTGACAAGATAACTGCAGGAGGAAACATAATTGAAGAAAAGAGGCAAAAAACGGAAAAAACTTTCTTAAATATTTTTCCAAACAAAAGATCTTCACCCAAATTACTCTTTCGCTGAAAAACTAAAGATATCACTAACTTAAGAATCTTAGGGGATTTCGACTGATAAGAATACCGTTGACAGTTCAGAACGTCAACTATTGATATGCAGTTGAGTGTTTAGAATGTCAAGGATGAATTACCGTTGACAATTGAGAATGAAAATCACTACGGCTACACCCCTATGTGTGATTCAGGACCTTTTAGAAAGAATAACAGACAACATAAGCACGTTTTACAGGGAATATAGTAGCTTTGCAAATAGGCATGCATCAATACCAATCATTATTGAAGATATTGTACAATATTGTATACCGGTACATTGGGACCAATAATATTGGAAAAGAACTAGTAACACTATTGTTAGTCCATACTTTTAACACATTGAATATTACATAATGGGCATATATTGATGTTAATCCTTTTTCAGACAAAATACGTAAATCTGTATAGTATATACGTGTAATATTTGTCCATTTAAATAATACAGAATTGCTGATTTCTGTTGTTTGTTTTTACGTTGAACTTTCGGTTCGTTTTCCTTACATTTATTTAAATCTACTGATCTATAAGGCGGATGTATATCATTTTTAGCAATATCTGTAGTGTTCTCAGTTTTATCTAGTGCCTAGTTGAAAAGATCATCTTGTATGCCTAATCGATTGACATTTTAAATACCATAGAGGTTTAGATCGTGTATCTACAGATGATAATTCCTCCGTATCATCATCATCGTCATTCATTAACGATACATTTAAGTCTATAGATCCTGTAGTTTCTATTCTCTATATACTCTTCGCCGTTTGTAATTCATCCCAATGTTCTAATATTTGTCCACATAGTTCAGCAATACTTGCTTCATTGTCAAATTTTGAAAATGCTGTAAAATTATTCAGTTTTTCTTTGTCGATATTCGACCTTAATCTACGTAATAAATCAACTTTACGTTCATGTTCTTCAGCTTTGTCTTTATTCATTAGTTGTGATTTTTCCTTCATTATATAATTCATAGGTTCCACCATCAATGGAAAAAGGAATATTTTGGGTAGTGGTATCATTGTTACCATAAGAATCATAAATTCGAGTCGATAGTCATGATAGGTTTTTTTTAGCACTGTTTTTTAGAACACTGAGCGGCTAAAAGAGCCAGCATGGTGTCCATGGTATTTCATACTAAAAGGATATATCAATATCTATATTTAAAATAGTGTAGCAAAAGTGAGAACGTTCTTTTGTTCAGAGTTCTTTTTGTACTTTTGCATGTGCTCTTTCTCGTAGCCTGGAAAATGTTTTTTAGAGCTGATGGTATGCTGGAAAACGAAGTTATAAAAATAAGTCAGAAATTGACAGTTCCGCGTTTCCAACAATGTGTCCAAGCAAAAAACAGAAAACACGATCGAAGTTTGAATTTTGCAGTTAGGTAGAGAAGAACAATCATTTCTGATCAAAATAGAACAAATCCGATCGAAAAAGCTTTTGGTTTGATGGAATTATGGGAGTTTTACTGAAAGCACTACTATAACCAACTGAAACTAAACTTTGTGATATGACTGAAAATGGTAATGAAACGAATGTACCCAACAAATATTCAGTTGATTTCAATTAAACAGGTAATTGATCAAGAGATTTATTTTTAAATGCAATTGATTTACATTCAACTCGAACTCTGTCTTCGGCACCAGTAGTCATAGTGTCTTTGAATAAATAAGTGCTTTGTTCATTTAGTTCGTACGAATGTCCATCATCAACATTCACTTTTAATTCTAATACTCCATTAACATAGACTTCAATTGCAGTTTGTTTTGCTACAAATAACAACACGTAAACATTCTTTCAGTTTCAATGTCGACTCACTTACAGCAACACCTGAAACACTGAGTCTACCTTCATTTGTAATGTAGATTGAACATTGTTCCGATATTCTAAATAATGTTAGTATACCACCTAAAAATAGCTTAGATTTAGTTAGAAGATTTAAAATATCAAGCTAATAAAAGTTCTTCACTTCTGCAGCAGTTGTTTTCTTATTTCACCTGCTGTGGTTTTGGTGGATTCGTTCCTTTCATCATTAAGAAATAGTTCAGATGTTGTGCAATTACACTTTTTACACTATATGATAGGTGTAAGGTGTAGAATTGATAACACAACGAATTCTGCAGATTCATTGACTAATCGACAGAAATATTTGTTTTATGGATCTCTGCTAGGATAGCTGACGGTGTCTATTCAAATCGCCCTTATTAGATTTCATAAACCTCTTTTACAGAGCATACAAGTATATGTAACCATAGAATCTAAGTTACCTAATCGTTACTGTTGCTTCAAAATAATTTTTGGCTCATTAATTTGGATATCTTAGGCGAATATCGTGACGAAAAGAAGTATTGATCCCTCCATTTATCTAAACAGGAAATATACATACGAAGTGAGAAAACTGTGTGTGATAAATCCTAGTCAACAAACTCAAAGTATCGGCGTCCGATGAAGTGCTTACACTGACGAGGGAACATCCCCAAGCGTTCCCCTGGGATATAGGAGAAATACATGGGGTCTGGTAGAGCTAGTATTGTTAAAGGACGTAAGTACGATGAGAATCAAGCAAAAACCTATTAGCACAGTATTTTTAGAAAGCATCCTGAAAAGTGTATAAAATATTTTGTATAGAACTGCTACGGAATGCATTATAGATTTTAACAAAAGCTCATTAATTTATGATCGATTTCGAGCTTTCGACATTCTAACCACTGTCATCATCAGGAAACAAGTGTGAAAAAAGAACAAAGATAGAACTAGTATTCGAATAGTTTTTCCCATTTCTCGAATGATGTTTAGCAAAAATATTTGCCCTACATCTAGGAAAATCGTATTTATTTCAATACTAACGTCAACGTTTCACTGTTTCGAACAGCATTTTCAAGACATAGTATAAAAATGAATCTGATAAGACTCTTATAGAATAAAAAGCAAGAGCATATTTTCCACTGAAATATTTCAGTAATAAGTCTGTAACGTAGCTTCTATTAATAATCCTTAGTGTACTGTGACGGGTGAGGGTGCTTCTGTAACGGTGCACTGTGGATTATTAATAGAAGCTATGTTACAGTCTTATCACTGAAATATTTCAGTGGAAAATATGCTCTTGCTTTTTATTCTATAAGAGTCTTATCAGATTCATTTTTATACTATGTCTTGAAAATGTTGTTCGTAACAGTGAAACGTTGACGTTAATCTTGAAAAAAATATATGATGTTTAAACTGCTGTTATCGCAATAATCTTCTTGTTCACATTATTACCCATTACTAACAAGAATTATCGAATTTCAGCTGTAATTACTATTTGTTCTTATCACCAAAAAACTTTCTTTCGCAGAAAATAATTATTTCATGGAAATTTAGTAGAGAAAGCAGAGGTTTTAAAACAGAGCAGAGAAAATCAATCAGAGGACGTGTGGATTCAAAACTCTTCCTATCTATTAAACGTGTTAGATAGATGGTATGCAAGCATGTACGTGTCATTCTTTTACTAGAGAAAAGAGTCTTTTGAGACTTCTACTAAAATTTGTTGTACTATCTGTGTTCTAGCGCTATGTCCGCAATGTAGTAACAATTATAACTATGGTTCGTGTAACTCACCATCATATTGCTACTGTAATAGCGGCTATTCTGGGACATGATGTAACGCAGTAGTTACTAGTGGACAGTGCCTCAGTCTTACCTCGGCAGCGACAACTTCATGGGGTGAGTAAAAAGTGGCAGATCGCACAGATGTATGAGTATAAATCTAGCATACGCGCATTGTAATTAATTTTGACAAAAACTATGCGAACTGAATGTGCTTCTTTTCTCATACAAGTGGTGGATATTACAATACATATTATGGTCTTGAACACGATGTTATTTCAGAATGCTGCGTTGCAGGCAAAACAATGCATGTTGTTGCTGCATTTTTTGGTATTAATAATGCAAATCATGGTTGTAGTGGCTATATGGCGAGTAACGGATGTGCGGCTATGGATAAAACAGCCATAATAAGACCTTTATGTATTTTTAGACCGGATCGGTCTAGTGTTTCCAGACCGGTTAGAACTCTGCTACATCTAATCTTATGAAAAGAAGTTCAGAGTGTATGATGGTGAGGGCTGAACAACGTGCACCAGTAAAACAAGATCATTATGCGTGGCTGCTTGAGTGAAAGTAGCGCAAAAATGAAATCGGTTAGAACTCCTCGAATCGGATCGCCCATTCGTCAAATAAATTATTCATTTATAGTGCGATCCTGGCCGAGAAGGATTGCGATTATATCTCGATGGTAGATTTCGAATAGGATCGTTTTGAAAATCAGCTTCGCTAACGATTTTGATTGATATAAAACCAATCAAGGCAAAGTCAATAGGACATTTAGAAATATAAATGTTCCACACACTTGTGTACTTTTGACATACTTAGAAGCATGATCGTAATAGTTGTGTTCGATAGACTGTGCGATGAGAAAGAAAAAGCAGAGAAAACTGCCACCATCGATAACAACAGTCTCTTTATCAGTCAAACTTCGAGCGGATGCTATATTTCAGTCGAGCGAGAGCGTGCGGTGGCCATTTTCTCGTTTTGACTGAGAGCATCTCACAAAGGACGGGGGCGATCTTTTGATGAAAGCGGCCCCTACTTGAATTCCAATAAAAGCAAATCATTCAATTTTTTCATTTCAACTTTTTTAATAAATGAAATTCAATATGCGTCAAGCTGCTGAATATCTGTACGCTGCGCATTTCAAAGTACGTACATACTAAAGAGAAAAAAAACTGCTACTCAGTGAACTTTCAATAGAATTCATTAGATAATTGGGTACTTTTGCCGCGCTGCACCAAATTAGATAGGTGCTAGGTGCAAAGTTTTCCGGTGAATCGGACAGCGGGTTCCTTTTAATTCTATTTTGACTTGTTTTCTGGCGTCGACATAATCTACGTGGTTGAAAAAAAGGCGCCAATGAAAAAGATAAAATTTAGGCAAAAATCACGTAGATTATGTCGACGCTAGAAAACAAGTCAAAATAAAACTAAAAGGAACTCGCTGTCCGATTCATCGAAATTTTGCACCTAGCACCCAATTTTTATCTAATTTGGTGCATCGCGGCAAAAGTACCTAATTTTCTAATGGATCATTAGAGAAATTCTGGCGCAGACAATAATTAAAGATACTTACGACACAGTTGAATCGATGAATTTAAAGCCACCTTTTAACTAGCACATGTTTATCTGGTTCGGTTGTTAATGTATGGTTCAACTGATTCTTCACGTGTATTCATGTATGCCAACTGCTCATCATCGATATTGTACAATAATTTCATCATTTTTGCATACTTAAACGAAGCCTCACAGTGTACAGCAAGAATACGATAATACGATCTATTCTATTTTGTAACGAACAATAATTTTTTACATGAATATCTCCAAATGTGACCCTTTTATAACTAGATCCCATAACAGTAGAAGAATACGATTTGTTTAATAGAAATATTTTCA